TTGTCAAGATATCTTTCGAGGCAGAGGGAATGGGGAAGGAACCCTCAACAGTAATTAGAAATTTGTTTAAAAGATGTATAAAGCAAGTAGGAGGAGGCTGTAAAATATGTAAAAATGTGCGTTGGGGATATGGATGTCTGCTCTAATATCTCTGTACTTAAAAAATAGTCTGTAATACTTTACAATTTTTTTAAAAAAGAAAAGACAGTGATATGTCATAGATCAGCAAAAGTATGTTTAGTGAGCCTCAGCGAGAAGTGAAGTAGGGACTGGACGAGGTCACAGTCCTGTGTCAGATGAACCCCGAGGCCATGGCTCTGCCCCACCCACCTTTCCACGCCCTCAGGGCATCCGATCACACTCAGACCTAGAACGTTTTATAAATCACCGTACTTCCCAGCCACCATGACACTCACTGCCGGTTGCACGTGGGTGTGAAGCTGTCTCCCGGGCACAGGACAGCCGGCGAGTGTTCAGGGCCCACTCGCTATGCCAGTGTCCGGCATCTCTTTGAGGAGAATCTCTGTGGGCACTCCTGTCATCCCAGAGGGCCTCACACGATCGTTTGATGCCCACAACGACACGTCAGGTGTGACCCCAGAGGGCTGAGGAGAGGTGACCATGCACTGGGGTGCAACTCAGAGGTGCCTCTGAGGACTAGGAACTGCACCTGAGTCGTTCCTGCATCTGTCCTGGCACCGGCCACACGGGCGCTTCAATATTTATTTGAATGAATGGATCCAAGTATGTTTTATTAACGTGGCGTTGTTAGTGAAGGTGGGACGACACCTCCTGCCTGTGTACCGAGAGTCAAAGGTGATCTGTTAGGTGTAGGAAACTCTGACAAAGAGCCTGGAAAGGAGCCCCGCCTGGCAGGCTTTCCCGGGAGCAGCTGTGGAGGCTCCATGGTAGGAGACCCTGAGCTCTGAGCTGAGACCGGGGGCTTGCTGTCACTGCCTGGCTGCCTTCCTCAGCTTCCCCAGCGCAGGTGCCACAGCCCTTTCCTCGCACCATGAGACGGCCGGACTCGGCCACGGGCTCCCCTCCTCCTCCCCACTCCGCTGGCATGTGGAGCACTTCCTGTCAGCTCAGCCTGCAGCATCCCAGTCTCCGGCACTAGAAAGGACCACATCCCCACAGCAAGGCGGCGAAAGCCTTCCTGGGACATGGCAGTGTATGGGGACGGGCGGATAAGATAACTGTGTCCTCTCTCTAACCCAGGGGTGGGCAAACTTTTTGATTCGAGGGCCACAATGGGTTCTTAAACTGGACCGGAGGCCGGAACAAAAGCATGGATGGAGTGTTTGTGTGAACTAATATAAATTGAAAGTAAGCATCATTACATAAAAGGGTATGGTCTTTTTTTTTTTTAGTTTTATTCATTTCACACGGGCCATAGTTTGCCCACGGCTGCTCTAACCCCTCACGTGTCTGCTGTGGTCAACACTGACATAGGAAATACAGCCACTCAGAAATGCAAAACAAGGCAAATTATACTCTATTGTGAAGGATTGCCCTTCCCTGTGGGTGATAACAGCTCTGCCATAAACGCCCTCCACGTGTTAGATGATCTTTGTGCTTCTGTGGCTGATTATATCACCATATAATGCAGAGCTCTAACCGGTGGAGTTATCTTAATTCTATGTTATGTGTAATTTCCGGAGGTGGTGAGAGATGAGTGGCTGCTGGCATCTGGGAACGTAACTGGCTAAAATATTCTGTTTAGCCTGGGCGTGGAGGCGGAGCTGGCCACCAGCTAATTATTGCTGTAGGTTGGATTTTGTGAAGTTCTAGGAAATATGCTGTCTGAATACCTTTCCTGTTATGCCTTTGGTTTCCTAATTAAAGTAATATACTAAAGCTGTTCGTATGTTGGCAAAACTCCCGCTGACCTCGAATGATGACTCATGGAGACGGAGCAGCAGGAGGGGCCGGGAGAGCTGCTGGTGCTGTTCTTTTCGGGCAGGTGTAACACGGCCACCTCACGGCTCTACGCTGCCAGGGGGGCAGAAAAGGACCGACAGCCCGACCTGGCATTAGAAGACGTGGGTCCGGACTCTGCAGTTTCATAGGAAAAGTGGGCAGCATCACCTGAACTTGCCGAGCCCTCCCTCCAAACCTTTATTTTGCTGGAGATGGAATAACACCTGCCCTACTTACGTCTCAGAGAAGTTGTGAGGTTCAAACTCGATAACGTTTTAAAGTCCTCCGAACTGTAACCCGCCTGCGGCCATTACCATGGCGACAAGCATCAGGCGTCTGTGGCAGCACAGATGTGGCCACATGTTCGCAGAGGGTAGGAGCATAAGGACCGGGGAGTCTCCAGCGGGCGCAGAGCTGCTGTGGAACGAGGAGTTCCCGGCTCTGGGGGTATTTAAGCCCAAACCATCTTTCTGCCGAAGCGCCGGGAGAAGGGATTGGACGTTGAGTGGCAGGTTCCTTTCCTGGGTCCGCTGCACCCTCAGATGATGGAGCTTATGTTCCCTGTGAACGTGCTGTTCCACCTTCCAATCCACAGCGAGCGGTAGAACACTAAAAGGGGTTGAAGCAGAGTTTTAAGAAAATGACTATAACCCAGAAGGAGAAAGCTAAGAACACCGATCCCTCCAGGATAAGGTCAGCAGGACTCCAGGCTGATCCTGATGGCCAACACGGGCTCGGGGAGCAACAGGAAAACAAAGCACACGCTGCCCATGGCGTTTGAAGGTCCCGGAGCCTGACATGCTGCTGACGTGCCGACGTTGCCCACCGTGTCTCCCCGAACCACACATTGCGAGAGGGCAGCCCAGCTGCCCCGAGTCACCAGTCCCAGTGCCAGGCTGCGCAGCAAAGAAAATGAGGTGACAGCTTGTGTGCACATTGCATTTGTGTTAATAAAACCATAAAATTCTACCATCTGGCAACACACACACACACACACACACACACACCCAAGCCAGCAAGAAAGAAAAAGTACAACCTGGAAAGAGAAAGCTAAGAGAGGATAAACCCCACTGTGTCGGAATCTACACCTGATTCCTCCTGGACTAAAGGCTAAAGGAGCACATGCCTTCTGGTTTCTGTCCCCTGTTTACAGGTGAGAAAATTGAGCTCAAATGGGTGACCTGCGTTGCTAAGTGCCAGCTAACAGGTGCGGGTGCTGTTCTAAAAACTCCCCGTGTTATGTCCTGGAATCCCCGCCTACCCTCCGGGGGATCCGATGATACGCTGGGCCAGGGAGGTTAGCAGCTGGCCCAGTCACAGCTCCTCAGTGGCAGGCAGCCTGGCTCTGGGTCTGTTTGACGTGACACCTCCATGGAAGTTGTTCAGGGAAATGACAGAGTCCTAGTTTGTAACGGACTTTCACTTGTACGTCTCCCTCAGAGTGGACTGGGGTAATATGCCTGAGGATGAGCGAGTCAGAGACCCCTGATGGTCTTGGGCCGTGGTCGGCAAACTGCGGATCGCGAGCCACATGCAGCTCTTTGGCCCCTTGAGTGTGGGTCTTCCTAAGCCTTAGGAGGACCCTAATTAAGTTAATAACAATGTACCTACCTATATAGTTTAAGTTTAAAAAATTGGGCTCTCAAAAGAAATTTCAATCGTCGTACTGTTGATATTTGGCTCTGTTGACTAATGAGTTTGCTGACCACTGGTCTTGGGGATCAGGGTGGTGACCCCCACTAGTACCTCCCTCCCTCCCAGCTGCTCTCAACTCTTTTTTCTCCAAATGGCACTGAGCCAGTGGTTCTCAACATTGGCCGCACATTAGAATCACCTGGGAATCTTTTTAAAATCCTGATTTCTGGGCCTCATCCTCCGGGAATTCTGTTTCTTTGTTACTAATGTTGTGGCCCCCATCCCATAACAAAAAATCAGAATTTCCGGAGGCCCAGAAATCAGGATTTTGAAAAGATTCCCAGGTGATTCTATGTGCAGCCAAGGTTGAGAACCACTGCACTGAACTGATTTGTTAGAAGGGGGTGTGAATCACCAATATACCATGCTTCTATTAGAGGTATGTTTGCAATTTTTGGAAAAGAATATTGTTAAACCAAACGAATCGCTTTTTGGTAAAATTTCAAGCTGTCTTAACCAAGAATTCGGGAAATGTGACATAAGAGTTAATGGGGCACAAAGGGTCCCTCGACCGGCTTTAAACCCTCTCGCTTCCCCTCTGTGTGCTTCTGTGTGGGAAGTTGTGACTTTCCAGGTTTCAGTTTTATTTCCTAACAAAGCTTACGCACCAGAGGGGAGGGGAAGAAGGCTGCATGTTTACATCAGAATACTCAGTGTTACTTGCACTGAAAAATTCGCCCAGAAATATAACTTTTTTTCATGTGAGTCATTACGCCCAGCACCTGATTTGTAGGCTGACAAACAAAGCTCCGGAGCCAGCCTGGAGAGAGCGTGTTTACACCTCCCCCAGGAGGATGTCTGTCCTCCGCCCCCTCTGCAGGGGCTGGGGGACCAGTCACCTGTGTGTGGCGGATGTGAATCAGCTGGCAGCGCCCTGAGCCACTGGTTAGCCTTTGTTGGCTGTTAGCGAGTTATTTACAAGTAGCAGGTGCTGGTTTTCCTAGGAGTTGAAGATCATCCCATTTAGTGGATGGGCGGGGGCAGGGGGTGTCCCTGAGGCTCTGGGAGAGCCACCAGCCAATCCCTGGTGAGTTAGGTTAGGATGATTCATCCCGAGGGCTGCTCGCCCCTGGAGGGCGCCCCTGCGGAGGCTGACCTGAATGCAGGCTTTGTGGGCCTGTGGAGGGTGGAGCAGGAGGAGGGAGGGCCTGCCGGCGGAGCCTGGAGAACACGGGGCAGATGCTTTCTTGGAAGGCATGTTCCAGTCTCAGGTGACTCATAACTTTCCCCCAGGTCTAGCTGCTACCAGACGCATGAAAGTATTTTTCTTAGCTCCCACTTCCTGGTCATTTTTAGGGTTCATGATCAAATTCAGGGTTTTAAAGAAACACCCGCTTTGA